CATATACATATTAATATAATTATAAAACAAACTCTTTTGTTCTTCTTTTTTTTCTTTTTTTTGTTGTTTTTGTATACTTTTATTTAAATGCAGAGATAATTACAATCTTCCGTGTAGATAGGTGCATTTAAATATTCAACGTTTAACCTTGCGTTACCTGTTAGACTGGTATTAATATCTAATATTAATGTGAGATATATCTGATTAGCCGGCACAAATGATAGAAGAGATGGTATCATCAAATGATATGAATTTTTTACAACTTGATTTGACCAGTTCTGATATAAATGTAACGGATTTAAAAGAAGTTCAAAATACTGGAATACCACCTGACAAATTTTTGCAACATCAGCCACGCCCCGTTAATGGAATATCCTGTTACTTTTCAATATTTAGCAAACCTTAAAATATTTTAATTTTTTATTTGATTAATATGTCAATTGTGATCATAAAATATTTGACAAATTATTGAGATAATAGTGTACACTTTAAATATTTATTCAAGTAAATAAATTCATATGCAAATATACATATCAATGAAGAAAAACTAGTTTATTATTGCAATTGATTTTTTTTTTCGTCTGATAAATATTAAAACAAGAAAGAAAAAAAAAAGAGGAAGCAAATATGAATGAAGAAAAATAAGAAGGTTTGATCGTTCAATGAAAATAAAAGATAATTAATTCTTTAATTAATGTTTTTTTTCAATATATAAATAGTTTTGTAATTGTTTTGTTAAATGAAACGTAATAACAGATTGAATAATTTAATATTTGTTACATCAAGTATTATGCTGATAATAGATGTAATTTTACCGTCATACGATTTAGCAAATTGCAACTTGATGCAACGAATAATTGAAAGGTATCTAGGTTTCTTTATTTTTTGTTAATTATATTTTATGACTTATTATGTCTCATGAAAAAGTGTATTTTTTACGAAGTATGTTATATCAATAATTTATATTATGATAATGATTATAAAGGGTGTGGTAGACCGTTATTATATATTGAAAAAGGTAAAAACAGGGCAGAAAAAATAAAAAAGAAAGGAAATCGATGAATACGGATGATGCAATATCTGTTTCAGATGTCAAGTATGTTTACATATTTGTTTTTATGAAACTTTAACAATATATGTGTACGTGATAAGTATAATTATATTTTACGTAGGTGTTGAAAAAAAATTTTCTAGGATTAAATACGATAATTAATAATATTTATTATTATGTATTAATTTTATTATTTAAATGTATTAATTCATTTTATTAATTCATGTATTAATTTATTCATATTATTTATTTTATGTATTAAAGAACAAGGAAATTTTTAATGATGACAAATTTCAAAGAACAACAAAAATTTCTATGAAATTGATTTACAAAAAATCAAATTGGATCATATTAAAAAACAAAAAAAAATTACAGTCGATATGAACGAAGACCTTGTCTCGAGTTGCAGTATTTATAACAAAGAATCGGTAAATTTTCCATTACCCCTTCTCACTTTGGAAACATTCTTAAGATAAGTATTACTCGATGTACACGTTAAACGTTTTTTGTTTTTTTATTTGTTTTATCCTATTATCGATATATCACGATTACGATACGATATGAAAAAGAAAACAAATGAAATCTATTCAATAGATAATCTCAAAAACTACGCAATCTAAAATTCATATAAATTTCATATTTTAATTTAAATTTGCCGCCACATACAGTTTTAAAATTACGCGGGAAAATTTGAATTTATTTGTTTTGTCAATGATTTTCTTATGTTTTTATTTTTCCTCACTCATTGTTAATCTTAGGTTGTAAATAATTTTTACAGATTATAGAAAGATCTTATAAACACGTTGAATGATTACAGGTTAATAAAATCTTTGAAAATACGAAAGGTGAGATGAATTTTTTTCAATGGAAATTCACGAGTCAATTTGTGTGACTAATTCCACTTATTGCACACACGTGGTTTCTTTAGTACACACGAAATGTTTCAATTTTACGAAATATCTGCTATTAAAAAAAAAAAAAATGCGTATCTTCTCTTTTGACATCTTTTTTTTTTTACACGCAGATATATGTATTTATATACATTTGCTTCGACAATCTGACAAGGGGGAAATAAACTTTGGAAATTTACCGTTGCATGTGGAATTATTTTTTTCTTGATTTCTCCTTCTTCTTCTTCTTCTTTTTGAAAACATCAATAAATGCATAAATAATAATTTTTGAAGAATTTTATCTTATTTTATTTCATTCGTTTTTATTTTATTTTCACGTATTACGATGATAGAATAAGATTTAATCGATAAAGTAGGGTTAGGTTAGTTTAGGAAGTAACATCATGTAATTATACTTTCTTCCTAATTCTTTTGATTATTATCATTTTCATACGAAATTTATTGAAGAGAAATTCCACGTAATTTAGAATTATTCGAATAATTTCCGTGTTCTAACGGTAATTACATAACCTCATACGAATAAACAAGACATCATAATTAAAAATGAAATGATAATTGGTTGTTATATGTAACAATGGGAGTATTAATAAAATAAATCTAACATATATTTCTATAATATTATAAATTAACATCATTTTAATTATTTTTTTTTTTTTTTTGAGTTATTGATTTACTCATCATGTGAGAAATATCACAAACATGGATGTAATAATTTTACTGAGTAAATTTATAATTCATTCATAAAGTAATAAATGAAATTATAAAATAATATAAAATAAACAATTCATTTATCAAATAATTATAGTTTATATGCACCTATGTTTCGATGCATATATTAATAAAGTTAGGTATTACATAGAATGATCATAGTAGCATATCTTTTCTAAATATTGATTTATTGATAGATTATAAGTGTGTATCTATATTTAGTTTTTAGTTTAATAACTAGATTATTTTCTGATTCGAGTTTAGTATATAATAATTAAACAATAAAGAATTTATTGTTCATAAGTATAACAAATCTTTAGGAAGCAACCATATTAAATCTAAAAGAAAACAAAAAAAATTCAATACAACTCTTCAATTGAAGTTTAGTTTCGGAAATAATCTTCAGTTGTCGTTAGTTTGATAAACAAAAAAGAAATCCTAGATATTATCTATTAGATAATAAACTTAAAAAAAAAATAAATAGCTTATATTATTCTTTATATAAACGAAATTTGATAAAATGCTATATTTGCATAGGTGGATTCGGATTAAGTTTCTAAAGGGAATAAACAATAATGTCAGGTAGTTAAACTGATTAACCAGTGTATCTTTTTTTTTTTTAATGTTTGACTAATTAATAATAGATAGAGAATGGGCCCTTGTTCTTAACACTGACAAATACCTGGTGTTATCTCTATTGTTATTTTAGAGCTTTGTGATACGCAAAACAGTTTAGTTTGTCTTAGCGGTATGCGTACATAAGGCCCGTAAAATCATTCATTTGAACATTACTTTTATAGTCGTCTGTCTACCATTCGTGAACAGACACAAAATTTTCATTCGGATAAAAACTTATGCATACGAAACATACGTGTACGCGAGTGTTTCATTTTTGTGTTTTTATTTATTGTTTAGTTTCATTAGTTTCCTTTTTTTTCGAAGAAATTAAGATAAATTAAAGTATAGTTAAGAAAATTGTTGTTTCCAAGAAAGTTGATCATTGGTGCTTTTTTTCTTTTTTTACTTTTGGGGAAATAGGAACACACACATGAATGCTAAACGTAAGTACTGGCAGATGATTGATCGAAAATATTGTGTAATTTTATTTATAATTTTTTTATTTTATTTTCATATGATTAATTTTACGTGGGATAATTTTGATCTTATAAAAATATATAAATGTTGAAAGGAAATAGAAATATATATATCCAACAACGACGACGACAAAGATAATTGTCGTTTTTTAGAATATATTTTTACAGGAACCACCTGTGATCAACTAAATAGGACTACTTCGAGTTTTGTTTTTAAAAAAGAATAATATATTTATATATTTTGCACGTTGTAAGGAAATATTGACAAATTTTGATTACAATAATACTATAAAATATAATACTAATAATAATAAATACTATAAATATGACTTCATATAATAATAATTAATAAAAATGGTGTAAGTAAAAAAAAATGTAAAAAAATTTATTTAATGATATTAATAAAATTAATTATATTCTTTATCTCTCTTTGGTAGTATAATAATAAATTATATATAATATAATAATACATATTTTATATATAATATCATATATATTAAATTTAATATTATATATATATATATATATACACACAATATTATATTAATATAAATAAAATTTAAAAAATTTAATATTAATATAATTTAAATACATAAAATAATAATAATTTTATATCAATATAAATTAAATTAATTAAATTTAATAGTAATATAATTTAAATTAATTTAATATTAATATAAATATAAGTGTGTTAAGGTGTTCGTAGAGAAATAATTTTAGAACATATAAAAAGGGAAAGTAATAAAAGACATAATATAATTTATTATATTACAAAAATTAATTATTTTAATTTTGTAACCATTACCATAATCATCAATATACATATATAATTAAATTAATAATACAATCACAGAGTCTTATATTTCCAGGATAACAAAAAAACATTTTCAAATCATCCTGTATAACTTTTTTTATAGTTTTAAATCATCCTGTATAACCTTTTATAGTTTCAAATCATCCTGTAAAACTTTTTATACTTTCAAATCATCTTAAAATTACATTTTTTTAATAAAACATTCTAATGATTTTGTCAAATCGTTCGAAAACCCCTCCATTATACGTTTCTATCTATTTTTTTTTCCTGTTTGATTATTTTTGAGGAGGGAAAAGGAGGATGGTAGGAATAATGAGTAGATGAATTAACCAAAATTCTTCCCTCTTCGATTTGTATCAATTATTATATTATTTCTGCAACCTGTTTTTCCCCTACCGTTGAACATTCACGTTACCTCAGGATTACTCATTGCAAGTTGCTTTTATATGCGAGCATGCTTTTAATATGAAACAAACGGTTTGACTGGTATGATCAAAGAAAAGTGTTGGATACGTTTGAACGTTTGACGAGGATTAAACTAACTTTCGTACGAAAGGATATATTTAATGACTTCTGTGGTGCAACCCAAAGGCAAGTGTTATACTATTTATTTTTTTAAATAATAACACTTAGTGTCATAAAAATTTTATGACAGTAACATGAAAATTTGTTGTTAGATTTAAATGGTATTAAATATTTATTTTATTGGAAATTAGTTTGCTTTTAGATTATATTTTAAAAGAATTACTTTTAAAAATATTATCTTAATAAAATATATTTATTAGGTATACTATTTACTAATTATTGTAATATTAAATGTGTATTTATATTATGTGTAAATATAGGAGTTAATTTTTACGTGAAATATTTTTTATAATTGAAACAAAAAATATAAAAGAAAAATTAACACTTATAAATAATACATTAAAAATATACCTAGGCATTTATTATCTGCGTGTCAATACATAATTCCATTTAAATCTGACAATTTCGTTTGATGACACATAAGAAAATAAGAATGATACTTGTGTTTTCTAAGAAACAAATTTCAATTGTTCTCTTACTATCTAATTTTCACTTGTCACGTCGTGGTACTTACATCGTGTGACAAGTTTATTCAATAATTCAAAATTATGAAGTCAATGCGAGAAATTTTAAATCTCATCTGTTTGAATATTTTGAAAAAATCTCACGTACAACGTTTACAATTATTAATGAAAAATAACTTTTTATTTAACATTTAAAAATGAACAACGAACAATAACTTTACATTGATACTCAAGAAATGTGTCCTTGAAAAACATAATTCAGGATCAATGTTATTATAGATGGATTTATTTTTAATTTAATGTATTATCCTGTAAGATTATAATTTAAAAATTGTTTCGTTTAATTTTAAACAAATTAATTCGTCCTACACATTAATTGGCATTAATTATGTTTAAATAAACAAAAAACAGTATTTTTCTAAATTATTACTCAATGCAAATAATTTTAAACAAAATTACTAGCCCCACATTATAATTGGTGTTAATATAATAAATTAATTAAACGTAATTAATTTTAATTAAATTTTATAAATTAAAATATTTTTTATTTATTAATTTTATTTATTAAATTTATTTTAATTATTAATTAAAATAATTAAAAATAATATTATAAAAATATTTATTTTATTTCAATTAAATTTAAATATAAAGACAAACAAAACAAAAATTGTATTTCTAAATTATTACTCAATAGAAAATCCTTGGAAACATATTTCTTTGTATTAAAAAATTATATTTGAGCAAGTTTACTTTAATCTGAAGTTATATTTGATAATTATGTAATTTAAACTACCCCTTGTTTGTTTTATTTAACAAAACGAAAATCGTAATATGAATAAAATGTATAATTTTTTAAATACGAGAGATAAAATTATTCCGAGAATTTAAAATAAAAAAAAAAGATATAGATATCCACGAATGACAGAAATATGTGAAATATTGGAAGTATTCATATTTATCGACATATATTGAAAATGATTTTACGTGTGAGTTGATAGAAAGAAGAGGAATGAAGTGAGGGTGAGTGAGGGAGAGGCTTGAAATGTGGTTTTTTTTCCTCTATGCATTTTTATTATTCGCAGAAAAGGATTCTACGAAATAACGAAGTATACTTTCTCCTTTCTCCGTATTGTTACGATAAAAATTGATTACCTTGAATCGATATTTAAAAAAGTACGTAAAAAAGAAAAGAAAGAAGAAATGATAATTAATAAGGACTCTATCTGTCGTATGAAGAAATTAATCATGTAGTTGTTGAATGATAATGATACGAATAGAATTATACAGCTTCCGCGTGTATTTTAAAAATATTTCTCTTTTTTTTTTTAATAATTTTATTCCATGATATAAGTAACACATTATAATTTATATTAATCTTACACGAAACTTATTTGTGTTTTTATTAATAAAAAAAAACATTAAAATTAAAAATATTTATAAATACCTTTGAAAAGATATGATGTGTGTGTGTGTGTGATTGTTTCAGAAGAATTTCGTATAATATAATTGAAATGATCTAAATATAGTTATTATCATGTATAATAATATATTTACATTACAGATATAAATTTAACGAAGAAAAACAAATTTTAGAGATCATAAATATGATCCTAGGACGATCTTCTTCTATCCTTTTCTAATATTGAATCAATCATTTCAGTCAACCGTGATTCAGAAGTTAATCTTACACGTTTTACGTATATTATCCATCGAATGAAATTATTATCGAAATATAAATTTAATATTGTATTTATCGAAAAGTTGATGAAAAGTGAAAAAGAAAGAGTGAAGACAATTTTTTTAATAAATATTTGAAATATTGTACAGAAAGTAGAAAACAATAATTAAAGTTGAAAAGCAAAGAATATATATTTTTAATTTTCAATTATTTATGGTGTTTAATTTGGGAAATAAGAAATATAATATAAAAAATATGTGTTTTGTGTGAAGAAAAATATTTCGATAGGTGTATAATAAAAATTAGTTGTAATATTCGTGAAGGTGTGAACAATAATATTCTATATTTTGTATGATCACGTGAATTTTGTTATTTTATTTTTGATAAATGAAATCAAATTTTAATCTCGTATATGATATTTTAAAATTTTCTTTTCTTTCTCTTTCGGGGTGTAGAAAATTAGATTTTAAGATTTGAAATATCGTAAATTCAACAGAGAACAATTTTGTCAATTTTTAATGTTGAAATCTAAAGAATTTGTTAAGGAACAAAATTAAATATATTGGTTAAACAAGAAGATTACAATGGTTCATAGAAGGATTCTCCAAATGTTATCGATATTTTATTACAAACGCATGAAGAGTAGGTTATATTTTTTTTTATTAATTCTAAAACTATAATTTTAACTATCTTTGTTAATATGACAAAAAATTCGTACTTATATATAAAAAAAATTATATTTATATTTTAAAAAGATATATAAATTTATTTTACAAAGAAAGAAAGAAGAAAAATATTTTTGAGTATTAAAATAATAAAATATTATTTTGATTATATCAATTTTTTATTTAACACATTATGGTTGTATTTCAATCGACAATTGCAAAAGAATCTTCTTAAGGAAGAATACTTTTTTTTTGTTTACTTTGAATTTGATTTTTTCTCAAACACGTCAAGCGTTTTGCCATTTTGTTATTTTAATTTGATTTTATTACATTATGCCCGTTCGTTTGTTTCTAAATTGAAGGTGAGGACGTGAATTCTGCGGATTCTGGACCAGCAGATTTTGAACGTGCGATATGCTTATCAGGTAAGTAATTTAAACGTTGTTCTTCCTATTAATTTATATACATATATATTTTTTTTTATTATTATTATTTATTATTATCTATGATCTAAACTTTCTTTTCACCTTTCTCTTGTGTACTTTCAAATCATTCGGAGAAATTTCTAATTGTATACACTTACATATAATCATAAATGTAAAGTATGTAACTAATAAGATACTATACCATATGGTATAGTAATCATTAGATTCTATAATATTAAAAATATAATTCTTATAAATTACATTAATATATAAATAATACATAAATGTAATTTATGTTATATAAATAGATTAATATAATTTATAAAATTATATTTTTAATAAAATATACATATTTGTTTTCAATTTTGTTCATGGACAATCAATCTCCGAACTTTGAAACCAATTAGATTGGTCAAAGGATGATATGTGACTATATATATATGTTGAATATATTTTGTATTATTTATTAAATTCTTAGGTTATGGAAAATTCAATTATTTATTACTACTGGCTATACTGCCAGCTAGTTTTGCCAGCATATTTTCATCTTCATCGACAGCCTATGTTTTACCATCAGCGGAATGTGATCTTGAACTAACCATGATTGATAAAGGACTACTCAATTCCATGTCCTTTGCAGGTGGTACTCGAATTAACGTAATTCGTTTTTTTAAATTAATAATATTCATTGTTTATAATTCAATGATATCGAATATGTTTCAATGATAACAAATGAGGTTTGTTAATTAAGTATGATTTTGATTTGTAGGTATGATCAGTACTAATTTTCTATGGGGATTTATGGCTGACACTTATGGAAGGAAAAAAATTATGTTTTATGGATACATGCTAACTGGTTTTATCACATTAGCCACGTGTTTCTCTCACAGATCGTGGCTTTTAATACTTTTCAAATTTTTGGAAGGATCTATGTAAGTCGAAGAATACGAAAAAAAATAAGCACAGACAAAAATATCTGTACGATTTCTTTTTTTTAATTTTTAATTTTTTATCTTTGTTAAAATTGATAATAAACATTTTTCTAACAAACATTTACTAACCATGCCAACTTTTTCAATTGAATTCTTTATTTTTATTCGACGATGATACTTTTTTTATTAATAATACTCGTTTAAAATAAGTACTATGATTAATTGGTTTTTTTTCTTCTTTTTAATTGGCATAATTAAGGGGATTAATATTTGTTAAAAAAAAAAACCAAATCCCGTTCAAAATCCGTTTAAATAATATTTTGTATGTGATAGGAAAATTGTGAAAATTTTCGTAACAGGAGATGTTCCTGTAAAAAATATAATATCATATATAATATATATTTATGTATAAACAATTTTTTTTATCCGTTCCCAAGATAAGATTGTTTGAGATAATTTATTGAATTTTTAGTTATGCTTATCTATTCATTAAATTGCAGAATATCCGGTCCTTATGCAGCTTTGATGTCATATTTGGCTGAAGTACATGATGAAAATCATCGTTCACGTACTTACATGTGGTTAGGTGTTTATTTTTCATTTGGAAATATTTCCTTGCCATGTAAGTTATTAAGAATTTTGTTAATAACAATATATTAAAATATAATAAAACATTACTTTAATCTTTCGAAGATTAACAGATGATTTTTCTGAATTTTTATAATTATTCGTGTTTAATAATTTAATGATAATAATATAATAAATTAATTGGATGAATTATTGTTAATTTTATTTTTTAATCTGTTTTATTTTTTGTAACACAGGTATAGCATGGTTAATTTTACCCAAAAAATGGAATTGGAGTATTATACATGGTTTCGTTGAAATCAAATCTTGGAGAGTATTTTTAGCAATTTGTTCTTTACCATCATTTTTGGCATGCTTTGCTATTTGTTTTTTTCCCGAAAGTCCACGATTTCTTTTATTGAAAGGTCGTCGTGATGAAGCATTGGAAATTTTTAAGAAAATCTATTCAGTCAATACTGGAAAACCGGCAGATACTTATCTTGTATGTTAGAAAAATATTATATATTAAATTATATTAATTAATTAATAATAATATAATATAAGTTATATATAATTAATTAATAATACATTAATACTTTATTTTATAAATTATATCTTTCGAAATAATTTTGTCATTTTAATTTTTAATCACAGTTATTATTCGTTATACGTAATAACAATTTATTTAGTAGAATATTCAGTTAATTTAAAGTAATTAGTTTTTTTTTAAGTAATTATTTTAATTTAAATAAAAGTTATTAAAAGTTAAAAACAACTTAACATATATGAATCAAATCTATTCGATTTATAATAATATTTCATTACTAATTACAATTATATTCACTATTTTTCTCATTTTCATTACATAATTTATAATCTGTCGAAACATTGTGTGATAATAATTGATTTTTCAACATAAACATAATGATTATTTAATAAAAGAAATAAATTTGATATGGACTGATAGTTTTATGATCACTTTGTGACATGACGAAAGCGTTGAATCGTTAAAAATATTTACATACATCCAATAAAACATGTTACTATCTTATAAGATAATCATTCATTGCTAGTTTTGTTAATATCAAGATGATTTATTAATAGATAAGGGATCTAGAGGACGAGTATTCAGTAAAATCATGTGGTGATAAATGGAAAGAAAAAGTACAATCATCATGGGCACAAATCAAACCACTTTTTTTACCACCAAACGTGTTTAAACTCATAGTCATATCTTTGATTCAACTTGGTGCTACGATAGGGTTAGTACAAACATAAATTATTAATATAAATCTATTAACAATAAATAAAAATTTATATATAATAATAAATAATTAATTATTTAATACAGATCAAATTCTTTGAGATTATGGATGCCACAATTATTTTCTTTGATAGAAAGTTATAAAATCAATCACGTTGAAACAGATCATCAAGTAGGTTCTCGACCATCTTTTTGTTATATATTTAATACTACGGAAAATAATAATGATAATGTTACTACCATTGTAAATAAAACAGCTAATACCATCGTCGATTGTGTTTCGGTAATTTTTATTATTAAATAATTAATATATTTAATTAATTAAATATATTAATTAATAATTTAATTACTTCTTTTTTTAATTTCATTAGACAGAACTAAATTCTACTGTGTTCGTGAATTCTATAGTCATCGCACTTACCGGTATCATTGGTTACACCTTGGCTGGCTCATTGATAACCATCGTTGGAAAGAAAAAATTAATGGGTATTTTTTAAATAGAAACAAAAAAAAATATATAATATGTTACTTATGCGTAAGTAACCTTAATTCGTGAAAGAATAAAATTAATCAAATTAATTTGATATTATTTAAAAATATTTTTACTACATTAAAGTAAACAATTTTTATCTAGTAATCATACGATTTAGGAAAATAGTTTTTTTTGTTTCTTAATGATTTTATTTTTCATGAGATTATAAATTTGATTATGTATGATTATTGAGTATGAGATTATTAATTTAATTTAATTCTAAAAATTCTGAAAAATTATTAATAATAATTATGTTTTATTTTTAGCAATATGTTTCCTCGTGGCAGCTGCTTGTTGTGGATCATTGTATTGGACTAATGATACTAATGGAATATTAGGATTGTCATCTGTATTTGTAGCAATGTCGAGTATCGGTGGTGCTGCGGTGGTCAACATAATCGTTGATAATTTCCCAACGTGTCTAAGGTTATTCATTATAACTAACAAATTGTATATTCAATCATTTCTAATATTATTTGATAAACTTATAGTGCGCCTAAATTCATGCAACCCTTTCTATATCACCGATAACATTAACCTAATAACTTACTTTAACCTATAAATGCAGAAAAAAATAAAAATTTTAAATAAAATATTAATTAAATGTTATAAATGATGTATATAATTTAAATTCTTATTCAAATGAATGTATAAATAAATTAAAAATGTTTAAATAATTGTCTGTTTAGAACTATGGCAGTTAGTACAGCCATGACAGTTGGAAGATGCGGTGCTGTGATTGGTAATCTTCTTTTCCCAGTTTTGTTTGGATTATCTTGTTTTGGGCCTTTTATTATGATTGGTTCGGCTTGTTTATGTAAGTATAAAAATATATTTTAAATAATTTTTAAAGAAAAAAAATTCAAAACAATATTTTTTAGTTGCTGCTGCATTGGTCATACTTTTACCACGAAAACCTGCCATAAAGAAAAAACCAAAAGAAATTCCATGAAATGGGACTTAATGTGGGATTTTTAACCTCGTATCGATAAATTTATTTATTTAAATATAAATAACGCACGCGTCAAAATTTTTCTTGCTCCTCATTTACTTTTTTTTTGTTTTTGTTTATTTGTTTATATAAGTAAACAAGGTCGATATTATCGATCACTTTATCGATCACTTTCATCGTGTAAATAAGTTCGTTCATATTAATTATTAAGAAAATTTTTCTTTAATCGGTTATAACCATCATTAGGTGAATTTATTTTAATATATAAAGTTATAATATACATGTGTATATATACAGATAGGTATATAATAATGTAATAAATATTATAAATATATTAAAAATATTTATACACGTGTAAGTAAACGAGAAAGCGCTTAAAAATTGAGGTTTATTATTGTTATTGTTATTATTATTATTTTTTTTTTTAACGAAATTTCACGGAGCCTACATTTGTTAATTATTCATTCGAGAAATGTAAATCATTTGTTTATATCGATGTAAATGTTTCGTATATTAATTGTAATAGAATTGTATTGATAGTATAACAATTTAATGTATTTTTTAAGAAAAAGAAAAAAAAGAAAAGAAAAAAAAGAAATGATAATACAAATAAAAAAATAAAGAAACAAAAAAAAATATGGATAAAAAAAAAACATTGAAGCGAGAAATTAAGTGAAACAACGTACTTTATTATCGTATGAATAAATGAATATTATTCAATAATGTAAATAAATCAATCGTATACAAATCGATTAATAATTTTTCGAGATATTTTATCTTCATCTTATTTATCACAATTTATCTTCAAAGTTACATAAGCTGAAGTAGATTGTTCATTTTCGAACAGTATGAAAAATAAAGAATTTTGCAAGAAGTTGGAATAAAATATTCATCGAAAATACTCGATAGTTTTGCATAGAATTATTTTCAAAATTTACATTAATTATTCAAATATAGTTTTATTTTACTGATTAAAATTTATTTCAAATTTTATTATCAGTAAAATGAATAATAATTAATAAATTTATTTTGATCTTGTATCTTTCGTTCAATAAGCAAATATATTTAAATAATATATTATAGATGTATAATAAAATAAATAAAAATATAATTAAAAAAAAATAAATAATAAATAATAATGTATAACAATATTTCAGATACGATAAAAAAAATTAAAAAACCAAATAAAACTATTCTTAAAATAAAAATATATTTTTAAAGCCATCCACCTTTTCTGGGTGATCTACTTGTAGCAAAACGTGGTGACCTTGGCATTATGTTAACCAATCTCTGTTTATCTTCTTCCTTATGACTTTTACCATCAGATTTATTCATCATAATCGTTGTATTATCAATGATTTTTCTAGGACTCAATGGAGATTTAGATCGTAATTTTATCATTCCAGAATCTCCAGTATTACTAGCATTAGTTACTACCAAATTATCTTTAGGTTTATTTGGATTACTTTTTGGTGAATTTAACATTCCTTTGACAACATCTTTTTTCATTTGTATCTTCCCTTGTATTATTACGTTTGAGGTGTTTTGAGGTGATCGAGCAGGTATAACAGGTTGATAATTTCGTTTGGATTTTTCATCGATGTAACCGACAGTTGAAATTGCCTGCGTTTGCTGTCAAATTGTAAATTCAAAATTATTATTCCATTTGATTTTTTAGTAGCTTAATCATAATAAAGTTAGATTAATTAATTGGTTTGTTTTATTAATATTTAGTATGAATTTAATTGAGTATTTAAATCAGATTTGATTAAGAATTGAATAATAATTCATAAACAAAACAAAAAGTTACATAATATTAGGTCTACCGGAAAATTCTGTCCATTTTAAAACATAAAATAAAATAATCAATTATTCATAATTTGAACAATTAATTAATTTCATTACTTTTGAACTCTTGCCAACATGGTGGCAATTTGTATATTCCATTTGAAGAAATGGGGATTTACCCCTAATGACGAAAAATTGAACTAATATTTGTTTGAACGGACAGATTTTTCCGGTAGACCTAATATTTAATTAAAAAATAGGATACTAAATTAGTATGCTGTAATTAATTGTTTACTGTGTTATCCTTTAAAATTAAATTTTAATTTTGTACAATAAATAATATATTTTATAATCAAGGAAAAATTTAACTTACCTGATCAAGTGGATCTGAATCGTACGTTACTGTTAATACAGGTACATCATTTTTAACAGAATTATCAGTTTCAACAATATCATGAAGTACATGCAGTATAGTGGTTTCCGTACTTTTTGGTAATTGTATTTGTGGAATCGGAAGTGTTGGTGCTTTTGCTGTCAATTTTCTTGCTTGTTCTATGGCTTTTTTTAAACTTTGTTGATTTTGCAAAGATACTCTGCTATTGCTTTTACCAATTTGGGAACTTCTAATCGCACTATTTACAACCTATTTTCAATATATTTGTTTTATTAATTAATAAAATTATATTAAATGATATTATTTGATGTTTAACATTATTAGGATCTTTGGGGACAGATTTTTGGATCAGATTGATAATGTGAAAATAATTATGATAATTATGTAAACAGTGTTCCCAGATAAATAAATTTTTTAAAGGTCCCAATGTGTTTAAAAAAATAAAATTGAAATTGTCATTTACTTGACCCCAACGATGATGAGTTGATCTCAATAACGCTAATCTAGCGACCCTTTTCCATCTGGCAATGTTATCCTCGCCTTCAGCTGGTTGAAGAAGATTCAATTCTTCTTGTGCAGCATCCTCTGCTGATCCAGTGAAAAGTCCTGATACTTGGAAATCCTTCATCAATCTTCTTTCCCATATTCTCATTTTTTTACCCAACACAGCTGTTAAACATATAAAAATGTTATAATATTAAATATTGTAGACTTTGAACGTGTGTATGTGTATGTATGTGTTATTTTATCCCTTTGAAAATTATTAAATAAATATAATTAATTTATAAAATATAAAAATTATTATATATAAAATAAATACTTTTAACAGACATTATGTGTACTGTTTGTTTTCCCTTTAAAAATTATTAAGTAAATGTAATATAATAAATTAATTTTATAATTTAAAATATATAAATGTTTTACAATAAATTATAAAATATTTAAAAATTATTATATATAAAATATATACTTTTCTCTTTGGTATCAATTCCAGCAATGTCCATGCCATTTCTATGCAAAATGTCTAGAAGTTCGCAACGCCATGATGAAATGTCGGATTTTAATTCATGTACGTCATCTTCCGTTACTGGTTCCATTTCATGCATGGAATGTGAATTGACAACGTATCTCCATACCAAAGCTCTCATAACAGTACCATATCTAAAATAACATAATTATTAATTATTATCATTGTTTTCACATTAATTTGAATATTAAATGACATCGATCGAATAATTTGGTAAACAAGTAACTTATAAATACGAAACAAATCAGTGATAAATAAATCACAGAAAAAAGAAAAAATAATTCTTTGATCTTATTCGAATTTATAATTAAAAAATAAAATATATAAATTATTTTATTAATATTAATTATATGATGAGTAATATTGTTGTAAAATGTCTTTCGAGAAAAAAAAATGCAAAATGAAATTGTATATTAGTATAAAAAATAACAAACTATAATTTATACTTTTGATTTTGTGAACGACGATGAGTGCTATCAACGTGTTCGTTCTTTCTCTTCTTTGATAAACCACATAATTTAAGAAACAATTTAGGTGGTGGAAAGATATTAAATGGCGGAGGTAGTGTATCACCTTCTTCGAAATAACTCATCCATAATTTAGTTCTTGCAAATTTCCATTCCGTGTCAGCGTGTTCCTAAAAAAATATGAATTCATTTAAACAAAATAATATTCAATATACTATTAATAATGTTTGTTTATAATTTTATAAATATTTGTACTTCTATGACAGCATAACTGTTGCTCATCATGGCGATTAAAAGATTCAATAGAACAATCACGTTGATAATCGAATAAGAACCGAACATCAATAAACCCCAAAATCTTGTGTAAGATTTAATTCCTACATAAATAATTATTTATTATAACGTAACGAATAATATGTAAATTAGTGATTAAATGATAATAGTTCAAATTTGATTACCAGTTAATTCGAAACTGTCTATACCAACTTCACCGAAACTAGCCCAGAACAAACTTTGACATGTTTCAAACAAATTGCTGAATCTATTAAACAATCAAAGGTATATAATTTCGTTTATTTAATAAACCCAATCAATTTAAACACGTGATATTAGAATATTATTATGTACCTTCTCCATCTTATACAAACGTCACTGGTCGAATCCCAACTAGGATCAGCAAAATCACTGTAACACCTTTTCCTTTCCAATTCAGCAAAATACCATAACAATTGATTCAAACCACATGCAAATGAAAACAAGACCAATGTATAAATGAAAAAAAATTTGGCAATGTCAATGACCATTCTACCCAATGATATTTGAAGTGGTCCAAGATTTGGATTTATACTGAATAAATGTATCAATTTGAGAGCACTAAATACATTTGCTGCTGCAAATAAACCTTCTGCAATCAATTGTGGATCAAAATCACTCCAATTTTCTCTTGGTATCAATGCAGCTGATGGATCAATCGCTATTTCTGCCCTTTGTCGAAAATAAGCTGCAGCTCTTAGTATTCCTGTCAAAATGTACAATGAATTTCTCGTGAAATCGATGAAGTTCCACATATTTCGAAGATATGCTTTTAATCCATCAACGTAAACCTGTCAATTAATAGTTGTAATATTTATTAATAATAATAAATTTAATCAAAATAAAATGTGTGTATTTTAAATAAACAATTATTATGCATTTGATTGATATACCTCTCTTGTTTCTTGCCATATAAATCCAAGAACGTACAGAACAATAAAACCCTCTAAGGGTGAGGGTGCTGCACCTCTTTGTCTTGCTAATTGTATCTCAAGGTTCCTTTTAGTTTCTTCATTTCCAAAAATTTTCACCACTTCCACTTCAACTCGTTGCGATACCAAGATAAGTATAACTAATAAACAAACAGACAAATGATTGAAATTATTTTACTACGAAGATATTTTGTTCCTTTTTTTACTGTCAACCAAATTAAAACTTGTCACAAATTAAAGATTTAATATAATTACTTAAGAAAAATATGTAAGAAGATGCATGTACTAAAAATTTAACGAAAGGTCTTCGCAATAATTGTCCAAATTTTGATTTGGGTGCAAAAAGGTATACTATGCAATAAAAGGGAAACAATAGGGCTGTTTTTATCAATATCCAAAATTTTTGTAGAATGCTCATTCTTCGAAATCCAGGTACACCTTCATACCTAAAAAACAAAAAGAAAAATTTAATTTTTACAAATCCAATTTATTAAAAAGTAAAAAAACAAGGAACAAAGTTTTTACCAAATAGCAGCGAGATATTGTTGAACGTGAGAATGAGCAACAAATCTTTTTTGTTTATATTGTATTGCTTGTTCAAGTTTTGCCAATTTTTTTGTCGACAAACTACTCTCCTCAGGATTGTAATGTAATATCGTACTTAATTCTGCCGTTGTTCGTATTTGTTGCAACAAATCGACGGCGAACCTAATTAATAAAAAAAAATAAAAAAAATGTAAATCATACATTCAAAAATATAAATTATATTTAACAAATTGAATGCTATACTTACTTTTCAACTTGACGTCTAAGTTCTAAATATTCTTTTTTACTTTCTGGCTCTGCAGATGCCAATTCTTTGAGTTCCCAACTCAATTGGAATGCTGTCATCAAAGGATCCGGTGAACTGAGGGATATCAAACTTGGACTTGACAATGCTTTATATTCATTTATTCTAGTTGATGACAGTCTCAGTGGGTCACCTGGTGATCATTAACAATATAATAATTATTAAAATAACAACATTGTTTTTATCAAATTTATTTTTTATTATTCTGGTTGATGAAAGTCTCAGTGGGTCACCTAGTGATCATTAACGATAATAATAATTATTAAAATAACAACATAGTTTTTAGTAAGTTTATTTTTTTTATTTTTGCAAATATCATTTATCAAAAATGGCATTGATATTTTTCCTGACCTGCAGTCGCACGTAGACAATCTTCGCAACTGCACCTGACGTCGTGCGGCATCGGTAAAGTAGCACCTCTATCCAACAACAGTTTCAGAATTTCATAGTTGTTACGTTGAGCCGCTAATATCAATGGCGTCATGTCGATTGGGTACCGAGCAGACACAGGATCGATTTTTTGCCAACTATGATAAACTGTTTCTTTTTCTTCTATTTAAAATCAAACATAATGATCATTTAATTATAATCATTGAATTCTTCTTAAATCTTACTTTTTTTATTAGAATTTATAATTTGTTTCAGTTGGTGTAATATTTTAAAGTCAATAAAATTACTTTGCATATGCGAGTGAAATTATTATTTAAAAGATGCACAAACTTTTGATTAAACTTAATATTATATAAGTTTAATTTTACAAAAACAATTTGTTAAGATTATTATCAATATTAGATGCAAATGAATTCCATAAAAAAACTAATAAATATTAAAAAATAAAACATAAAAAAGATCACATTGCAAAATGTTGATGTTAAATATTAAATTAACAAAAATATTTAAAATAAATATAATAAATTAATAAAGATATTTAATATGTTAAATTAATGTTAAATTTTTTAATTTACAATTAACAAAAAAAAACCTTATTAATTATAAGCTTTAGACTATCTATCACAATTTTAGATATTAAATGGGATGAAATATTTAGAAAAAAAAATTATAAATAATAAAATAATTACTAACCACTTTGTTCATTGATCTGATTACCGGTTATAAGTTCTTCGTATTCTAATAACAATTCAGTTGCTTCAACAAATTCATTATCAATTGCATACAATAATGCATCTTTCGTTTCAACACCCATCACAATGAGAAGTTCAATCATTTCAAGATTTTCAGCTTCTATTGCTAAAGTTATAGCACCACGACCAAGACTGTCAACGCAATTAACGTCAAGTATCATACCCTGTAATGTAATAATAATAATCCAAAAGAATATAACAAACATTCAAAATTTATATTAAAATTAAAATAAAACTTCAGAGCTAATAATTGAACAATTTATTAACTTACATTGATTTCACCTTTGCTAGCTGCTTGAAGTATTTTTTTAACATTTGATAAATCACCCCTTTCAACTGCCAAAAGATATTTCTTTTCTTCCAAATTCAATGATTTGGGTTGATGAATAAAACTATTTTCCTTTTTATCAGGTGGTGCTTCCATGTCTTTTTCAGATTTTGAACAACCCATGTTTGATTATAAACTTATTTAAATATTATTTAATTTGTCAAGGATAAATTATGAAAAATAATGTACACCAACTGATGCACATCTTCTTCCTCTTTTTTTTTTTGATATACGTAAAAATTTGATGAAACTACGAGAATTCGAAGTTACGAACAATTGCGTATCTTTGACACGTCTGAATAGGAGGTCAGTAACAATCGCTATTATATAGGGGATCATGGGAATTGAATTATGGGAATTAACCGAGACCCTGTTTATTTACATAGACATTTAAGATGAGCAAGTATAGGGCATCCAGCAACGTTCCTGTCGTCGTCTTCATCGTCAGGCTAATTCGTTTATCGATATCTTGTTAGCATTTACAACCACTAAGGTTTATTCTTGGTTTGCAAATGAAATATAAGTTACATCAAATTATTCATTGATTATTTATCATTTATACAATTATTTACTGTATTTTTCAACATGTTTATCAATTATATTCATTATTAATACTAATGTTGTATATATATATATGTGTGTGTTACAGTGAAAGATTGAAATTGGAGACTGTCAAGATTTTTAACGTTTCTTTTTTTAATTTTTAATTTAATTATAATAATCTCATATCAATTAATGTTTAATATTCAATTTTTAACCAGTTAACTGTGATTGACGAGTATATTCGTCATGGTTCAATTCTGGGGACAGAAAATGGTACACGCACTCAAACGAGGGCGCCACATTTAACTGGTTAATAAATGTATTTGGTAAATGTTGAAATGTTGACATTCAACCATGTAAATTTTGACATTATCCAATTTTGTTTTTTTATGTTAACATAAATTAGGATTTCTTTTTTTTTAATTAAATCAAAAATGTATGTATTTTCTTATTATTGTTTATTTTTAATAAGTATTGTTATAAGTATGAATGAGATGTAAAAGAATGTTTAAATTAGAGGAAAAAAAGAATAAGTAAAAAGAAAAAGAAATGAAAAAAAACTGTTATAAAAAGAAAAATGTTAGAGAGCTAACGTAGAATGAAAATATTTTCACGTACGATTCCTAACCTCTTTCTATTCACAAAGATAGTTTTAGTGGATGGAGACAAATTTTATTTTGATCGTGTTAAGTGCATTCTATAAGTTCTTTGCAAAAATATGACAGATAGTTGTCATTCTTTGTGTTAGTATTGAAAAATATAAAAATAAAATAAAAAAGAAAAGAAATTTTATGTTCTTTTAATAATACGTATAACCTCGCTTTGAAAAAAAAAATAATAAGGGGATGAATTTATAGAACATTTTTTCCTTTTATGGCTACTTATATTGAAATGATTATAGTCAAAGTTGAAACATAAAAAAAAATTATTATATCACATGTATATTGTCATTAGTTGTTTATTTAATTTTGATAAATTTTTGTAAGAACGTATTGTGTATAAATTGAATTGTTAAATGGTATAGTAGTTTCAAAAGTAATGCAATTAACAAAAATCTATCGAATAAAAATTCCAAATACAATATATAATAAATAATATGTAATAATTAATTATTAATATATAAATAATGTATATAAATATATTATTATTATTATTAATTTATATTAGAAACTCAAAAGTTCATTGCCGCAAATACCAAATAAAAAATAAGTAAATAAATATAATAAAGTATAATGAAATTATAATATATATATAATAAATAATAAATTAATTTTGATTATATTTGGATAAACTATTGTAATAATTTAACATAAATAAATTTTATATTAAAGTATGATATTATACTAAAGTTTTACCCCTTTTTCTATGACGCATATTTTTTTGTTCTTTTTATTATCAATTGTATTATTTTATGAATTTCTTTCTATTATAAATTAACGTAGTTCAATATGAAAGTTATTGTCCACTTTGTGGTCAATGAGGCTGCATGCACATTAAACCGATTCATTTCTTTGTTCTTTTTCTTTCTTTCTCTTTTTCTTTCTCTTTCTATTTCCCCCATTACATTGAAATAAAATCGCAATTTCGAGTGAGTCACTTCCTTCTTCATAGATTTAATCATGCTTAGAAATGTCTAAACGTTTTTAGTCAACAACTTTCACTTTTGCGAATTTATTTGATTTTAAACAAAGAAATTAAAAATACATATTGTGGTTTCTCAAAGTGCCATTTAAACAGAGATTTTACGTGTTGTTACATTTTTTTTTTTTAAATTTAATATACATTTTTAAACGAGTCGGTATTAAATTATGTATACAGGGTGTTGTAGTTGATGCAGGATATCTAAATAATTTCCAATGGTTTTTTAAACGATACGAAAAATGTTTTTAAGGTCATTGATATTTTTTTTATAACATAAAAGTGTATTTTTTAGTTTTGTATCACTCAAGTTAGGCTCACAAGAATTTTTTTTTCCATGATATATCTTTTTTGAAACAATTCTAACCATAAGTATATTTTATAAATTATTTATATTATTTAAAATATTTATATTATTAAATATAATATAAATATTTTAAATAATATAAGAAAATAATATAAAAATAAAAATAAATAAAATAATTAAAAATATATATATATATTTAATATATTATATAATATTATATATTTAATATATTATAT